TGGACTGGATGGCCCTTTTGGTCTCTTCCAACTCTATGATTCTATGAAGATAGGGCAGGCACACTTCTGACCCAAGAGGGCTGCAACAGATGATTTCTGGCCTTCTGGAAGGCTTTGGCACCCCATTGCAGCCACCATTTTGGATAATTGGAAATGGAGAGTGTGCTAGGTGCTTGGGGTGGGATCAGGCATTGTTTTCTTAACCATGGAGTTTTGAAAATAGGTTCAGAACCTTGGTTATCTCCTTTAAAGTTCAAAGTAATATCTAGAGTGGATTCACTGATATGGAAGCCACTAGCTTCCTTTCTTGGCTGTTATCCTGTATGGCTTGGCAAAGCCTAGTAGTTCTGTATGTGGAAGCAAGCTACAGTGGGCCATTCATTGACCTCTGGACTTACTAAAGCCACTGACCTCCTGGTGGACTGGTGAAGTGTGGGGAGAAATCTGAAGATGCATCTTGCTCTGCTCCTGTAGCCAGATGCAAAATTATTACATAATCTTCTGAGGTCAGCTGAGGTCCTCCAGAGGTCTCAGCAGATGATGTAGTCATTCTGTATATGGCTATAGGCACATAGCCAGATGTATCTGCCACATGAAGATGTGCACGCATGCACACACACCTGCTCTTTGCTGTGGAATGAGGTTGCAGTAGTTCTACAATAAGTCTGGAGTGGGGCTTTGGTCACTGTAGAGAGGAGAAGGGAAAACAAATTTTGGCATTGACCCCTCCCTCTTATGCAGGTATAAGGGTATAAAACTTAACAGAAGGCCAGCCCTGTATGGGAGTTAGTTTTCAAGTTTAGACTTGGGAAAATCTAGAATCTATGCCCTTTCATGAAGAGAAAGTTTGTGGCTGACCTCTGTTGTTGTCCTTCTCTTATAGGGTGCTCTTGATCTGCATTGCATTGCTTTCTTCCTATTCCATTCATTTGCTGCTGAAATGTGCTGGTGTTGTGGGTAAGTATTTCCTACTGTGTGGATACCAGAAGTGGAACACAAAGAGTCAAGATTGTTCTGGCTGCGGAGACTAAAATCTAAGGACTCTTTTACTGTTCTGAGGAAATTTAACAAAACTCAAAAGACTGCTTGGAAAGAGACTTTGCTGTTGGTAGTGTGTTTACACAAATATTTATTGTGATCCTTTATCAATGGCAGTGTTTAGCTAAATAGGTTGTACTGGGTTTTGAATCAATGCCAAAGCCTGCCAAACTTTATTTACGAGTGAGTATCCATAAAACAAACAGAATCACAGAAACAGAAAAACAGAGGGGAAAAATAGGAGAAAGGCACTGGAAACAAAACAAACTAAGCCAACTGGGAAACAGATTTCTTAGTGTGCCTGTGTATATTCAACTGTCAAATACATTTCTGAAAAGTATGTAATTCCTTCTTCAGGGGCAGCTATAAATAAACACAAAACACATTTATAAGAGATAACTGTTGTAAAATTACCACTGTGAAGTTTATTGTTAAAGTATAAAAAACTGAAAATTTGTGAAAAGCTCTGAGATAATATCTATATACATAAACTGGTGGAAAATATCCTGTCACCTCCACCTTGGGAACAGTTGTGCTGTGAGGGGAGGTGACAATTCTTGGCATGTTCACCAAACTACACTGCCAAGATTCCTTGGGTGACACTATTACAGGGAAGCCATCTTCTACACAAGAAGATGTAGAACATCTTTCACACAAGATGTTCAGTATGGAGTTTCCGATAGTGCCAGAACCCTGGTTTTTAAATTTCCTGGGGGCCATTCAGGAAGATGCAGACTAGTGTTCCTGCTTGGACCTTCATGTCTGAAGAACACAGCCAGCCATTTGTTTACTATTATTACCATAGAGTTGCATACTTTCTTGCCCTGCTAGGTTGGGAAATGCTATTTTCTGGAACAGCTGGAGCGGAGAGTCTGGTGATGTCCACAATGAGAGAAGATTCATTTGTAGTCATGCAAATGGCTGGTGCAGTGGTGATATCAAGCAGGAGTTATGGATGATAATTAAAGTGATACCCTGACCACTTGCTTTTGAAATATTTTTAAAGCCTTGAATCCCACAGTACATCCCTCTCTTTCTTTCTCTTTCTATCTCATATCTAGGAATTAGAGCTTATGAACAGCTAGGACTCCGGGCATTTGGCCATGGTGGCAAAGTCGTTGCTGCTGTGATAATCTCAATACACAACATAGGAGGTAAGAACTTGTTTGTACTCTTAGTTTATTCCTTGCCAGTTCGGTGGAGGAAAATGGACAGGACAGTATGTGCTTTGAGGTTAAATAAACTCCTCCAATGGTGACTCAAATTTTGCGCTAAAATAAGCATGGAATTCAATGACCTGTACACATTATGCAATAAATATATTTGCATCCATTTGCTTCTGTTGCAAAATTTATCCTATTTCTGTACCTGAGGATCTGTTAGCCTGAAGAAGTGTGGGTGAGGAAGTCTGCATGGTGCCAAACCCTGACTTTTCACTGATTTGGGGCTTGGATTTTGCCAGTATCCCATGATGCACTTACATAATGGTATGGTGGAATATACTTCGCCCCACCTGTTGACTTTTCTCCTCCCCACCAGCCAAATACAGGAAATCCTGACAGGTTTCTTTTTTCCTTTTCACAGCAATGTCTAGTTACTTGTTTATTGTTAAATCTGAACTGCCACTTGTGATCCAAACCTTCTTAGGGCTGGCAAAGAACAACGGGTAAGCAAAATTACATCCGTTTCAATTCCCAGCTCCCATCTGCCCTTACCTTGTTTTGATTTGTTTTGAAATTCTCCCCCCCCCCCATTTATTATAATTTATTAGTAATATCTTACAATATGATACTGTTTCCATATTTACATCTTACAAACAGTTTTTTTCTTAATTAACACTTCCTACTTTCCAGAAATTGGCTTTACATAACACCTTGTCTTTCATTATCATTAAATATATTTCTTATAATCTCCTGTTGATTGAAATATTTTACCCTTATTATTATTCCACCTGTAAAAAGCTTTCTTTGTTCACTTAGAATCTGAGCCTTTACAAAAGAAAATATCACTCAATAAAACACTTTTATGCAATCTAATTATCAATACCACTTTTTGCTATAATTTTAAACTTTTAAGATTTATTTTTAAATTCCAAAGGACAGAGGATTTGCTTACTATACATAAAGCAATGAATACTCAGTGGCCACCCAATTAAAATAACAGAGAAGGGGTTCTTTTACAATTTGATACCTATCAATCAGTGCAGATTATGTCTCTTACAGGACTTTACTATTGCTTAATCTCTGGAAACAGTTACTAAGTTAATTTATTGATTACTGCTACTTGTCGTATGACCTTGTCCAACCTGATGCTCTCCAGATGTGTTGGAGTACAGCTCCCATAATTCCACATGTCCCTATTAGCTGTGGGATTATGAGGATTTTAATTCCAACACACACCTGGAAGGCACCAAGATCCCTTTAATACTACACAATTACAGTGCTATGATTAAACTTTTTTGGCAGTCTCCTATGGAATTCTGGGATTTGCAGTTTGGAGAGAGACTAGAGCTTGCTGGCTGAGAATTCTAAATTCCTATCCCTAAATTAGCAATTAGAGAGCCAGTGTGGCATAGTGGGATGAGTGTTGGACTATGGCTCTGGAGATCAGGGTTTGATTCCCTGCTCAACCATGAAATCCGCTGGGTGACCTTTGGTATGTCACATGCTCTCAGCCTTGGGGAAGGCAATAAGAAACCTCCAAATAAATCTTGCAAAAAAACAAAACAAAACACGATAGGGCCGCCATAAATCAGAAACACCTTGAAAGCAACAACAACAACAAATTAGCAATCCCAGGATTCCATAGACTATTAGAATATTGATGTCCATAGGATAATTGCCATAGGATAATTGCAGAAGTAGAGTGGAATCCTGACATTATAATTGCATAGTTTTAAAGGGCATCAAGTTGAGTAAGGGACCATACAGATGGCTCCTAAAGGCCGGCTCTGTGCCACCCCTGGGAGCACTGGATCGGGGCCATGGCAACGACACACACTGTGGCCCTGATCTGGCTTTTTGCCACTCCAAAAAGAGCTGGCAAATGCTGCTCTCTACTGCCGCCGCGGCGTCTCTTCTGTGCTCCTCTGGCGTAGTGTGTCTAGACGCTGTGCCAAGGGAGCGCCCTGACCCTGGCGTCGGGGTAGAGTCAAGGTGGCTGGCATGCGGTCTGTACAGGCCCTAAGACTTCCTTAAAGTATTTCTGAGGCAATTCATAGGGAGGCTGATCGTTCCAATTGAAAAATTTAATGGTTAACAATATACAATCAGGCCTCCATATCCATGGATTCTTTACCCACGGATTCAAGCATCCATGGCTTGAAAATATTCCTAAAAAGTATAAATTCCAAATAGTAAACCTTGATTTTTCCATTGTATATAAGGGACACACTTTCACTGTATTTAATGGGACTTGAGCATCCACGGATTTTGGTATCCATGAAGAGTTCTGGAACCAAACCGCAGCGGATACCAAGGGCCACTATATTTGAAATCAAGAAAGTGTCGTTCCTATGAGTTGGGTCAGTGAAAACACATAATGTCACCTTAGTTAACAACAAAGGTGTCTCCTTGAAGATAGCACCCAGTCATATCAGTCACTTTGGATCTCATTTTGGGAGAAAGGTGGAGTATAAATACAATAAATGAATAAATAAGTGGCTATTTTAAGGCCTGAACTTTTATGACTGGCTTATAACCATTGTGATCTGGAATGAAATTGGAGATAGCGTGTCTGCGTGTATGTAAGTGCATCAAATGCATAAACGTGTGTGTGTGTGTGTATACACATACACACCACATTGAGAGAAAGAGTAGATGAATGCATGAATGCCTCTTGCTGTCTTTCTCCCACTTTCGTTTACTCCAAGCTAGGCCTACTACTATGTAGCTTTCAGAGCAGTTTTATGGAGGGAAGCAGCTGGTCTTTTTGGCTCCCTTTCCCTTTCTATAAATGGATCCATCTGGGTCTTGCTGCCCTATTCACATGCCTTTCATGACCAGGAGAATTATGAGCCGAAGCCACCATTCTCTGTGCTCAGCGGTGTTATGACTTGGGAGGATTCACCCTTCCACCAAGCCTCCCAAACAAAAAAAGCAGGGATTACTAGAACAAGAAATGGATTGTAACCAGTGTTGAACACACTTGAGTTTCATGTTGAACTCAGGGCAACACTGCATGTCATGAATGGCCCTTTTCCCAATGGCCCTTTCTTCTGATCTGGTCAGATAAATATGGAAGAAATTCCTGAGAAGGATAAAATCCTAGTTCTCAGCTGGTTGGAGTAGGGTTTTCTAGGGGAGAAGGGAAATAGCTTTTGTACAAGTAAAACTTTAAATGTTCTTTCCTTCTCCTAGTACAAATCATTCCTTATCAAGAAGTGATGTTTTGTACTGGAAAGGAAGAAAGAATATTTTACACTTTACTTATACCAGTTATTTCCCATCCCTCCCATAATTCTACATGTCCCTACTAGCTGTGAGGTTATGGGAATTTAATTCCAATGTACACCCAGAGAGCACCAAGAGCCCTTTAATACTTTGCCTTGTAGGAGAAGAAACCTCTGCTAAGGCAGCCTTCTCTATTTTGGAGCCCATTCACACTACACAGTTATAGAGCTATGATTCTACTTTAACTGCTATGGCAACATCTTATGTAATTCTAGAACTGGTAGTAGATAGATGCATACTTGGAAACCTCAGCCAAGGAGCCCCTCCTCTGGGGCTTTTGTCCAAACTACAAGTCCCTCCCCAGGACTCCATAGGATACACCATGGCCATTAAAGTGCAATAATAGTACTGTAATTCTGTAGTATAAAACAGCCCCCGGTGCAGTGGTTTGACAGTGCTTCCCATCATCCCCAGCCAGTATGACACCAAACTGGAGAATGCCTGTATTATGATTACATTCCATTTACCTGTTGCAAAATGATTACTAGGCCTCACACTCCTAACTGTAAATGAGAAAATTGTTAAATATTCCAGTGAGTAAGGGCAGACAAGAAGCAGCCCTCCCAATATTGTTGGACTACGACTTCCAACATTCTTTACATTTGTTTATGTTGGCTAGGGCTGCTGGGTATTGTGATCCAACAACACTTGGAAAATTTCTGTGCTGTACTTAATGCATATAATAATAATTTCACTGTGACAGGTAGCACTGTGGAGATTTGGACTATTGGCTCAGCTTGGAAAATCACTTTTAAAAACATAGTCACCCCTCTGTTCTTGAGGTCCATGGTTTTGAATATTCATGGATGGGCGACCTCCGTTAAAATCAATGGGGTGTGCCCCCTTCAAGTCTGTGGGGCTTGAATATCAGTGAGTCTCCATTTTGTGTGTGTGTGTCCGGAACGGATCCCCCACGAAAATGGAGGGCTGACTTTAATTCGTTCCAGTTGCTCATCATGCCGTTTTCAAAGGAATTCATTATTGCTAATTTTTAAAAACACTGGCATGAGTAATTCCTGCTTTACTTGTTGAATTTATATCTTACATCAGGGGTAGGCAACCTTTCCCCTTTAAGGGCCGAGGGACTTCAGCTCCCAGAATCCCAGGAGCTATTGGCCAACATGGGACTATTGGCCAACATGGCTGAGGCTTTTGGGAGCTGAAGTCCCTCGGCCCTTAAAGGAGAAAGGTTGCCTACCCCTGTCTTACATTTTCATTATTTTTGTTGTTGTTGCAGGAGAGCGGGGACTTAGGATTTATAAGAAAATGGAATGAAATTCTTACCAAATTTTTGAAAAATTCCTTGTCAGAATGTTTTTTTTAAAATGCTCTTAAAACTTGACTTTTAAATCTAACTAGAAACCATTACCTATTATACCAATAGAATGAATGGGAGCAAAGTTATGTCACTTTGGGTTATGTTATGCTACTTTAAAAAAGACAGCTGTGGGAACATGTGACATTTGCAGGTATTATTAGACAACACTTACCATTGGCCCATGCCAGCATAGCCAATGGTGAAAGACAGACTGGGAGTTGATTTAGCAAAATCTTGGGGAGCTGGATGCGTCTTGTTCTTGTGTTATAGATAAATTCAATAATTTGTTAATTTGAAGATCAAGTTATGGACAGTAATTAGAGACCCTGCCCCAAGCATTGAGGTCACTAGGCCATAGATTTCACCCTCTTCCCCAGTGTGTGCTATTTGTGTACTCCTGGCATAGTGAATCAGCTGCCTTTGCTTTTCTTTGGGTGAGAGAAAAACACTGCATTTGGGGATGGCGATAGAATGTGCCTGATGTTAGCTGGTTTCTCCAGACACTGGATGGCCATGGATGAGGATCCCCATGTACAACACACGTGGTCCTCACCATACATGGACCTTCCCTTGCATATAAAAATAAGTGTTCTTCTAATTATTCACACTAATTAATAATAATATTATGTTTGGAGAAAGGTTGTTGCTCCTGTGATCAGATACAGAAGAGCATATATGCCTCTGTTATTTGGTCAGTATCACTTACCTGAAATGCTTGGGACTAGAAGTGTTTTGGATTTCAGATTTTTTAATATTTTGGAATATTTGCATATGCACAATGAGGTATCTTGGAGATGGGAACCACGTCTAAACACCAGATCAATTTATGTTTCACATACACCTTCTTATACCCCGACGGTAATTTGATACACAATATTTTAAAATATTTTAATAATTTTGTGCATGAAACAAAATTTGTGTGTATTGAACTATAAGAAAGAATTGGTGTCACCATCTCAGCCACCCATTCAGACAGTTATGGATTTTGGAATATTTTGGATTTTGGAATTCTGGATAAGAAATACTCAACCTGTACATAGAAGAGGTCATTCCATCTTATTTGTTAAGGGTGAGGAAATCTGCCTCGTCCCCATAAAGAGTCCCTCTTTGATACAACTAGGAACAGGTGCCCTGTTTTTCTTTCTCTTTTGCCTTTTTTCACCCAAAAGAGGCAGATACCACAGTGACTATGGTACTGTTTTTGTTGCAGTGAGTGGTATATGAACGGGAATGTACTAATTATCGTCGTCACTGTTTGTGTCATCCTGCCCCTGGCTATGATGAAACATTTGGGTAAGTGACAAAGAGCACCAGCTGTGGTATGCTTGGACAAACACCATCTGAGGTGATATGTGTGTGTATCTGCGTCACTGCTAGTGCCCCTTCTATCTAAGGGTTCATGGCAGTGATGTGTTGATTTTTCCACTGTATTCCTGTGTGTAATAACTTCCCTTGCTGCCCCCTTCTGGAGGAATTAATTCTACTTTATGGCTGCATCTGCACTGCATCCAGTTTGACACAAGTTTATAACTGCAATGGCTCAGTGCTGTGGAATTCTGGGAATCATAGTTTTTGAGAGATTTAGTCTTCTCTGTCTGGAAGCTCTGGTGCTACAAAAACAAACTACAATTCCCAGAATTCCATAGCATTGAGCCATGTAGTTAAAGTGGTGCCAAATTGGATTATTTCTGCAGTGCGGATGCAGCCCATATGAACATAAGAACTGTCCATAGAACCTGCCAACCCAAGGAATTGCAGAGCTGCAGAAGACTAATCATTTTCTTTATTCCATGGTTTATGTCCAAGAAACAGGTTCCAAAACACATTGTTACAGAACTAGGTTGCCATGTTGTTTGTTTATTT